GGGGGGGTGGCCAGAGCCCGGCCATTTCTGGCCTTTCAGACTTTGTGCTGCGAGGGCGGAGTGCTTCGGGTTGAGATGGGCGTGGGTGGAGGGCGGCGGTGGCGGCTTCAGTGCAATACACCGTGGCTGAACGGCAGAGCTGCTCTACGAGGGGGGAAAAGTCAGAAAAAAAAAAAAACAACACAACCTCATCCCTCTCCTCATTCCATGTTGTAAAATTTATTTCTCCGCACTGAGTTTCCTCTGCTCCGTGTAGATTATGGAAAAACAAATGACAAAATGTTGACTACTATGACAAATGCTCCACATGCAGCAGTTTTCAATGCTCGTTACAAGAACACCCAACTTCCCTGAGTCTAGCGCTTTTAGCAACAGTGCTCTTGGCTTGATGTGCCATTTAGTACTTTTAGATGATAGAAAAAAGTTCTGGAGAGGCCTCGGTAAGATAACCCTTTATTTCTCTAAAGCTTTCCTCCTCTAGACACATACAAAGAGACGGTCTTTCAAAGGCTTCACAAAGTGTGGCTGAGATACAACATTGTCCAGGTTTCCGTATCCAACAAATATTAAACACAACACAGATATAACAGGGGCTATATTTACATTATTGTGGTGGCTGATGGGCTTGAAGGGTTTCTGGTAATGTTTGTCGCTGAGACTGCACAGTAAAATGAGACTGCTTGTTACATGGAAAAAATGCAGCAGCTTAAGTGGTCTGACCGTGAGTCTTCTGAGCTCAAAGGCATTGTTTTTCTAGAGGTGGTATAACCGAAGCTCAACAGCGAAGGGACAGCAGCATTTGGCCTTTAGTTTTGAAGGAAAAAAAAGAAAATCAATTCATTACAGACATGTAACTTGTCATAAAATGCCCCAGTGGTACAGCAGTATCCAAGGTCAGGGAACTGTATGACCAGGAGGCTGGACAGCTGTGATGGGAGCAGAAGAGCCTGCAACTGGGAGGTTGTATCTGTGCTGGAGTGGTTATAAAGCGCAGCACGAGCTAAATGATTGTTAATACACAGATGTATTGATAGAGTTCCCATGACAAAGTCTAACTGTATCTTTCAGTCTAGTTTAAGTCACCAAATCTGAGTTTAAACCAGATCAGCCACCAGAATGTGTCTTCCTCCCAGCCCCACTGAAAAACCTTCACTGTGTTGACCTTCCTGATAGCCTTCCTTGTTTCTCACTCCCCTAAAAAAAAAAAATAGGAGGCTGCAGGTGTAGTCATTCGTTATCCTTTTTTTCCCCTAACACGTTCATTTTCCTGTTTTCTCTATGGGTATGGAAGCCTGAATTCCAGGAGGACTAAGGAGGAGTTAAAGCATGCATGCTTCGGAGCACTGGAAATTAGCAGCGTTTGAAAAGTATTCCTGTTAACCTCTGAGTTGATTTTAACAGACATGACTCTTGGCCAAAAAGCCAGTGACTGGCTCCAAGATTGAAAAAAAAAAGAGACATTAGTAAGACTGAGAAAGAAAAGAATTCGTACCTTTTCATTCCCTCACAAAGACCAGTGCATTTTCTGTGTTTCAAGAACCTTTCGTTGAAGAACCGTAAACATTTTCAAGAATGTTTAATTTTTGAGAGAGTTGAAACAGGGTTTGCAGTACCTCTGTAGGTGCCTAGCAGCGTGTAACTGCCCTGAGCTGGAAGACACTTTCTATCTTGATGAGAAAAAGTTACCTTAGGACATTGTAAAACATCTCATTGGTGCCATATACACACTTGGTCGTTGCCAAAACACATACAGAGGTAATAATTAAGTGTGCACTCATCCTAAAAGTAACAGTAAATAGTTCTCATGAGCCGGTGATAGTGTTAACATGTTGTATACAGTTATAGTGGGAATGTGTGTGTTTGGGGAAAAAAAAAAAAAGTAGGTCTTGCTTTTTATTTTTTTGAGATCAGTGTAGGAGGGTATCTGGTGAGATTAAGAAGACCTTTGCCTTTACTTCCTAGAGTAGTTTAAATAGAATATTCAGTGTTGCAGAAGAGCGAAGAGGTCTCTTTAGAAAGAAAAAAAGTCATGGAAGTATTTTGTAGGAGTCTTTCCCGTATAGTGGCCGGTAGTTTGTCTCTGAGTGCTCCTGAGTCTGAACAAAGGCCGTTCAGCACTCGCTGGAAAAGTCTCGCAAAGACTGAAACGCAGTGGGACAAATGGTACATGCCAGTGCCCTGACATCCCTTCCTGAGGCTGTTCAGCGTTGTTTCCAGTATGTTCCTCATAAAATTCTCACAATTTCTACATTCTGTGGTGTTAAAAGTGGATGTATATTTTGTTTTTACTTCAGGTATTTCAGTTCCTTGCGGAGATTGACCGCAGCGATACAGGTCTAGGGCTCCTGGCGCCGTGCTGTGGTTTTGTGTGATTGCCTTGTGTCAGGTCCTGGCTGCCGAAAACGGCGCTGTCTGTCAGCGCAGCGTGGCACTGACGCCACTGACGCTTACAACTGTTGATAATTTTCCTTGCAAAAGTTGCAAGTTAGTTTTGCACGGAAGGTTTGCAAGTTTTTTATTTCATGTTGCTGCTCCTCAGTACGAAACGGAACGGGCGAAGATAGGTGTGTTTGTCCCTCCCTGCGAACTACTGCAGCTGTCCGCAGCGTGCTGCAGGAGCAATGCTGTCTCTGGTCTGACCCTGGGAGAAGGTCACATTTTAAGATAGAATCAATACGTTTCGTAAGTAGTTTTTGTAAGCACACACAAGGAGAGAAATAGAGGCCTTCGCCATCTTTTTGATTTCACAGAGGTATGATCAAAGATTATGTCAAATATGTAAGTGCTGTTATTAAAAGTGACTAAAAATGTATTTGCAGGTCTGTAATTGTGCGTTCTGTGTCAGAAAGACCCAGATTTCAGAATGTGAGACTGAGTTTGTAGCACTGGATTAAGAAAAAGGCAAAATCAACAGGCGTTTAAAACTTAACTCGTTCAGTGAGGCATCCTTAAAAGGGAGCGTTGGTTGACCTTTTCTGTTAGTTCACACTGAAAGTGTAAAGAACACTTTTCTTGTTGGACTAAATCTGTTCTTAATGAAAAAAATGTGTTTTACTTTGATATCGAATTACCTTCTCTACTACTGTCTGCAAGGCTTGCATGGTATTGTTTTAACAGGCAATAATGGCATTCCTTTGTTTCTAACATAAATAGTGTCGTTTTTTGTTTGTGGGTTGTTTTTTTTTTCCTTCCCCTTTTCAGGTAGCAAAGTCTGGGGAGAAGCAGGGGTTGTCTATTCTTTCATGAGTAAACTATGGAAAACAAATGTAATAATTAAACTGCTGTGGCCATTGTGCTTCTGACGTAGGTCTGTGGGTTACCTGTTTTTCTTTTACACATTCCAGTCATTTTGACAATGGCATCCAGTATACATGTTTAAAAATACATTCTGGAAGTAGTTGCCTGAAGTACCAGCTCTTACTTGGTTTTTATAGTTAGTGATCTATCAGGGCACCTTTTCTCTAGCCAGTGAGTGATCCGTTACTCCACACAACAACGTCCTTTCCAGCTGTTTTCTGCTGTGGCCCAACTTGGTGCAGTTCTGTAAAGTGCGTGGGCCTGCCTCTGCAGTGTGACTGGTGTTCTTAATTGTCTGGGTGTCAGAACACCTGAGTGGAAACACTTGAAAATGGAGAGCTGTGTGACTTCTGAAAAAAATGGGTTATTTTTTTATTCTAAGTTGGCAATTGTAGTAGCAATTTTTATCACACAAACACATTTTCACGACAATTCTAACAGAGACTTTGAACCTTGAATTGCCTTTAGTCTTAATTGTCATTCAAGGAAAAGATCAGTGCTGTCAAATAGAGGAAACCTTCCTTCATTCAGAAACATTTTGCGGCCCTGTCAGTTAAAAGTTTCATCCTTGCAAGTGTGATAAGGTAATAATTTACTAAAAGTTATTTCAATGAAACAAAACCACTGAAGAGAAGGGGGTCTTATCTTTTAAAATTGCTTACTGATGTGTAGAAACTCATTCCTGGAATCTGTTAAGTTTTTTTCAGGTCACTTATTTACTATGCAGGCATGCTTTTTGCTTCACGAAGCTTCTGTTGCCTTGGCATTAGGACATACCAACTACGAACAGATTTGCTTTCCAGATCCATGAGACTTTCAGCCTCTGCAGTAAGTATTCCTTCAGCTTGATGGGTGGAACCATTCATGCAATATTTGAGACCCACTAATTTTGCAACGTTGCCAATATAGATGCATTAGCTGTGTTTTCTTTATTTCTTGCTACATTGATCCGAACATTTAATACCAAGAACAAAATAAGATATTTGAATCAGTCAAAGTAGCATAACAGAATTTGGTGATTATTGCTTTGTGTTTCAGTCTTTAAGGCCATGTCTAGCACATAGCAGGCCAGAAGCGTTGCCTGGTTGTTAGGGCACTAGAGCTCAAGACACAGGAGACAGGTTTAATCCCAGCTTTGTCACAGACTTTGGGTAAGACAATTAATTTCTTTGTATCTCAGTTTTCCTTTAATGAAGGGAGAGTGGTGGTGCTTCTTGATGTTGCAATAACAAGGGGTATATGAGTACCTCAAACTTACTTTTACACAGAATTGCCTTAATATCCCAGCTTAACCGCTTAGAAGATCGTGTAACTTCATTTTAAGTCTTCCAGTTTTGTTGAGAGAAACAGAGTTTTGCAACGTGGTAGGTGGTTGGAGGTCAGGCTGCGCTGCATACAGAACCCTGGGATGTGCATTGTGTTCCCGGGTCAGAGCAGGAGTTCGGCTAGTCAGCAACTTGGGTCAACCGAGGGACATGTCAGATCCTTCAAAACAGACGTTCAAACCGTTACACTGGGCAGTTGTAGCACATTTTGACCATATGAGACGTTTCTTTTGGCATGCAAGCCACTTTGAAGGTCAGCTTTTGCCTGAGTCAGTTTTCCGTATGTAAGTATTTATATTCTATTTAATGAATAAGTATTTGTATTCTGTTTAATGGAGTTGGATATTCTCACTACATGTGCTGAAATCTAATCCTGTTGGTTTTTTCCAGTTTTCTTAAGATCTTGATTTCAGTTGTAGCTTTTGACGTTGAATTCCACAATTTAATCATGCACCATGTGAAAAGTGTTTGCTTCTATCATTATTAAACATACTGCTATTCAGTTTAATCACAAGTTTCTTTGTATTAAAAAGAAAGATAAATACAAGCAGCACCTGACTTTCTAGCAGGTGCTTTCCCTGATGGAAAGTGTGAAGGGAAGCAGGAGGTCAGAGTTAGAGCTCAATGAGGACATACCTCTCCTGCTTAACACTGACCTTAAACTCAAGGAAATCCTAGCCTTGCACCTAGAGGTGGCCTGGAGATTATCAAGTGGTGACATAACTGGGCTAAAAGAAAAAAGAGCCTTAAGAATTCTCGTGACCTTCTGGAAGAAAGAATGCTACTTAAACTATCATTTTAAAATGTCAATTAATTGGGTGGCTTTCTCAAAGTAGTAAGGTGGACCTGAACCCCACTGTAAGCTGAATCTGTGAAAACCTGAAGCCTAATGCAGGTCCAGCTGTTCTGTTTAAAGACTGGTTTCAAGGCACAAGGAAAAAGAAACAATGGAGACTGGAGTCATTAAATGTTTAAACTGAAAATAGCGTCAGAGCTGTAAGGTAAAGGCTTGTTTTACTTGCCCATACATTTTTAGCTAGGGAAGGTACTTAGTGCAGTTAAGATTTACACTGTAGTAAATGATAAAAGTCCTGCAGCTGATCAGCCTGTAGGTTTTAGCAAATTGAAACAATTTCAAGAAGCACTGGTCAATGGAACAGATTTACCCATGGCAGCATCCAGAGTTCTCGTTGTTAACTGGAAAGATTCGAAGTGAGACTTCTTATTTCTTGCAGTACAAGTAGTCTAGCCTATGAAAAAAGATGTGTGTGGGGGGCTCAGTCTATGTAGTGTGCTATTTGCATTTATATAGTCCTGTCAAACATTAACCGTACTGACCAAGACATACGCTGTAAAATTGGATTAATCTTCTAAACCATGTGTGTTTTTAAACAGATGCAGTACAGATTACCTAGTCAGAACTCCCTCTTAACTCCCTCTTGTTCTGTGGCCAGAGGTGCAGCTTCACCTCTCTGGTGATCTTAACGGTTTTCTTCCTGAGGACAAATAAAAGGTGTTCTGTGCTTGATTCCTCTAGTGGCTGTGTCTCATAGGTGGGGTCAGAATCACATCTGTAGAGGAGACATATGAGCAGGGAAGTATCTGTTTAATTTTATAGCTTCCCATTCTTCAAATCCGTAGGTATATGGTAGCTTCAGCACTGTAAGCAGGTTGAGTGCAAACATGTGCCTGTATAATATTTCCGGTGTGAGTCATTCTCATCGATTCAAAGTTGAAACTTGGAGTGTAATGGTAATGCAGGCGTTTTCTTCTCAGGGTATGGTAGCTGGAGTATAGGTTTTGAATCTTCCAGACAATAATAATAGTGGTAAAAGTCACTAAAATCAGTAGTCTGACTCGAAGGAACACGAGTGTCTGGAGCACTGAGGGACTATGTAATTCCTATGTAATTTTTTTCCCCATACCAAGCTGGTTTACAAAGATAGAATTGGGCTTGCACTTTTTTTGTTTGCCCATGGAAATAAATCCGTTTTTTCCCCCACCTTTCTTTTCTCTTTTTAGCTTGAAGGTACCACAACTATCAATAAGGTTTTTTCTGCCTTTATAGAGAGTACTCATTGAAAGTCTGTTCTAAAGCAGTTTTCCAAGACCTTAACTGAAGGTCTGAATACACAGCAAAAACATATTCTAATGTGGTTTTGCTGTGCTGTAAGTACATACTTTAAACTTTTAAAAGTCTGAATGAAAATAGGAAATGTCTTTGCTATTTTCCTCTTTACCCATCAATTTAACAAATAAAATTACATCGAAAATGCACGCTTTCCAAACTGGATTGAGCAGGAATTGAGCTAGAAATAACACAGTCTTTAAATTGTTAGTGTATCATAGAAAAGAAAAGGAATGTATTTACCGTATTTTTTTCTTTTTAGGTCATCTTTTAAAGCTATTGAGTTAAATTACGCCCCAGCTCCATCCGTGCTGAAAGTTCGGTGGCGTTAGATAATGATGAATGAGAATTTAGGCCATTTTTGTATATTTTCTTGTTAGTCTGAATTCAGGCTATTATAGAAGCTTTAATGAAAGAACATGTCTATAATTTTGTGTAACTACTGAATTCAGCTGGCAATGGTGTATTTGAGAAAGCATGAAGGAGGGTTTGTCCTGCAGAATCCAACAATATAATACTTTGTCTTTCTTAACAAAACCCTTTTGTCTGTGTATTTTGATCTTGCAGACAATGGCCTTCAGACACAAAAACACAAGACGAATTGAAGGCCTTGACAGCAATGTGTGGTAAGTAAAAGGAAAATATCTGCAAATTTCAGAAAATGTCTTTGGCCAATATACTTTCTTTCCAAATGGGTAATTATTGCCAATAAGAAGGTACATAGCACTTCCTATCTCTGCTGAAATACATGTGGCGCCTGCTTGGAAGCAGTGAACCAAATTCTGTTGAAGATTTGAATTAAGAATTAATTCTTGAGCTTTAAACATTAGGCTCGGGCTTCTCTTTGCCTAGTAGACCACGTAAGACGAGTGTAACTCTTGGGCAGAGTAGTATAGCTGACTTTTGAATTCAAATGTTAATTTTGTTGAGTAATGTATTTCATTTACACTTGATTTGCCTTTACCAAATAAGTCAGGTTTCTTCTTAAAGCCATTATACTTGTCTTTATAATTTAGCTCGTTATTTTTCTAGGTATATTTCTAGGAATTAAATTGGTCTTAAAGCAGTATTGCCATCACTGGTAAATATGGGACTTTGTTAGCTGGTGAAAACATTATTTTGGGCTTACAGTAGCTGTATGTATATGTGTGCATATACATACACAAGGTGTTCTGGTCATCAAAGTCAGGTTTAGTAGTTTGTATTCATTTTTGACTGAACTGTGATGCTATGTGGGGTTTTGTTTGTTCGTTTTTTTGTTTTAACTGACTCCTGTGGTTGCTCACCACTGTCCCAGCCCTCGCCTCTCCATGTGAGCACTCTACTGAAACCTGTTTCCACTGCTGTGAATTCGGCAAATTTTGGCAAATACCTTTTTTTTTTCTTTTTTTTGCCTTTTAATGCTAATGAAGGAAAAGAAAATTTTATCTGGTATGTTAACTTTAAAATGTTTTTCCCTTTTAGGGTTGAATTTACAAAGGTGGCAGCAGATCCCTCGATTGTTAATCTTGGTCAAGGCCTTCCTGATATATCCCCTCCCAGCTATGTTACAGAAGAGCTGGCAAAGGCAGCAGCAGTTGACAGACTGAACCAATACACACGAGGCTTTGTAAGTTCTGTGGAGCTTGAGGACCCAAATTCCGTGGAGGACGTGCCACAGGGGAAAAAAATACCACTTTGCTTTAAATGGGCTTTATCTGTAGGTCGTACTGTTATGTCCCAAATTAAGTTGATCTAGTAGCCTTACCTGTTGCTAATGAACATCCTCTGTGTAGGCTTCTTCAAGGCAGAATCCATCAGCCAGAGTGAAATGGTAGAGCACATCTGAGATAGATTGTCTTTGAAGAGTCAATCCACAGTTTAAAGTGTGTAAATTAGACATTTACCTCTGGTTTTGGTCAGTGTAAACATGTATCGAAGAGGGTAATGGCAGAATGGGAAAGAAATACTTGATACCGCTTGAGCCAGCGCCTCTAGGATCAAGAAAAGATTCATCCATAACATTTAGTAGATTTCAGTGGAGATGAGGAAGTGATGAAAACGGTGAGGTTTTGCCCCTGGAAGTTGGTCACTACCCATTCTGTAAGTTGGCTTGTAGAGTTTATGTTTTCAGCGGGCCGTGAGTGTGTGGCCGATGTCATTGTCCAAGGCAGGATATTAAAGTGGACTACTACTGTTTGAGTATGACCACTTCCTTGTTTGGTTTGTCTTTTTTCTTTGTGGTAAAGATAGACCAGATTGCCCAACTGAGAGTTGTTGCTGCAAGACCCTAAAGAGTCTAATATTTTTCTAGAAGACTGTGTTATGCAACAGTGATAGAAAAACATTGTATAGACTGGTAGGCCAGCAGTTGTGTTGGTAGTCGTGGCATCGTTGTGTGTACGTTCCAACATAACTTTTTGCCTGTTCCCTGAGAATCTGCGTGTGTTAGAACCGACGGGGAGCAGCAGTGGCCAGCAGCTCCCTAAATGACAAGCTGTCACAGCGAGCAGGGCGGAGGCCTCACCAGCCAGGGCCCAGGCCCACAGTACCTGAGCAAGACAGGACCCGAGATGGTGGCTGAGGTCAGCTCAGATCACGAGGCGAGCCTGTGGTGGTGAGGTGGGCCCAAGGCCAACCCAGGAACTCAGTCCACAGGTCAGCACTGGGCAGGTCTGGGGTGACACGGCACGTCTAAGGTCAAGTCACAAAATCTCTCTACTGGTAGTGGCCAGGTTCAGCGTGGCCTATGGCCAGGTACAGGCATGGCTGTGACTGAAATTGCAGCCCTACTGGAGAGCGCTTAAATGGAGCCCCTGGAGCAGGGGCACAGCTCTGGGCAGAGGCCCCGGGTGAGGCTCAAGGCTATTAAGGCTTATTGGGGCACCCAGGGGCGTGACTGGAACAGAAGGGAAAGAAAAAAATCCCCAGTGACTGAGTCTCATTCCATCCCCCTTTGGGTTGTTTTGTTTAATCACCTTTAGCTGTGTGCAAAGAGTCTCTGCAAGTACGTTGTGTATATATATATATATAAAAATAAAAAGCACCTCTCTCTATATATAAACTTGAAAGTATAAAGCAATTATTTTACATTGGACACATGCAAAAGATGCCTGGAATTTGGTGAACTTCTGGGTTAAGCATTAGTATGTTCATCACCCACAATAAGGTACCTGAAAAGCCTTTGCTGACCAGGCAGGCAAGGTTTTGGAGGAGCCTTGGCACAGAGGGAATGGTTACAGAGAGAGCCTGCTACAGTCCGCCTCCTGACAAATATTCACAGAGCGATTCTCTAAAACAACGTGCCGATCAGGCATGAGTACAATGCATGCAATTATTCTGCATTATCTTCTGACACTTTGTTCTTTATTTCCAAATAGTTTGATAATTCCCATGATAGTTATGAACATTTGCAGATATACTGTACTGCGGATAGTAATTAAAGAGGATTTTTTACCAATATTCCCATCTTCAGCCTTTGCACTTCCTCGACAAACTCCTGCCCTTCTAAGGGTTTCGAGCACCAGTATTTGTGGTAGCAGATGTGGGAGGGACGAGCGTGGATGATGCTCATCCATCTGATAATTGAGACAGTGTCTCAGCTCTCTGCAGCGCTCACACCTCTCATTGACTGTTGTCTGTGGCCTGTAGAGTGGCCTGCTGTGACTTGGGTGGTGCAGCATTCCTGTGTAGCTGACGCAGTCATGGCGAGAAATGGCTGTCTGAATCAACAATGACTTGTAAGCCTTAATTTATGGTGACGTTCTTGCTTACAGAAGGGTTCATGATTTTATGCCTTGTGCGTAGGGGTACAATCTTCAATATTTTAGAGAAGGATTTTTGTTGTATAGTTCCCTTTTCTCAAGGAGCTGTTTTCTACTTCTACCAAATATCCAAAAGGGAAAACGATTTTCACAGCAGGAAACCTGTAGTCTTCCTGAGTGAACAGAATTGTGCCTTCTGATTTCCATATTGTATATGATCTTTGCACGTTTGTTTGTTTTCTCGTTCTTTGGAAAGAACATTTTGAGACGAGTACATTAACTGCCTTGTCCCTGTAGGGGACACAAATGGTGATTGGTGCTCTCAGATTTGGGACGGGACTATATGAATCATCATTCTGATTACGAGTGCTGTTTATCAGCAGTATATAAACAATAAAAAGATTCCCCTTGCACCGAATAATTTTTAGTTGAAAGATAAGGAAGGAAACAGAAGGAGCTTCAAACAGAAATATGGGCGGATGGGGAAGAGGCTCAAAGGAGATGAGGAGGAATCGGTGTCCGAGTATTCCCTTCTCTCTTCCTGTCTCTTGTCCCAGCTCTCCTGTAGGCTACCTGGAGCTATCCTCAGATGTGATAATAAGATAGAAATTAAAAAGCATCAGATATAGAAAAAAAATTCCTAATAGATATGAATAAATTGAAACCGATTTTCTTCCCTAGTGTGCGAGACCTTTGAACTGTGCTACCAGTTAACAGCCACTATCCCTGAAGGCTCATCTTGTATTTTTCTATTTCAAAATGTATTATTTTGATAGATGTGGAAAACCCACCAAACATAGGCTTTGTACATTGCCAAGAACACAGCGATCAGTTGCATTTGTTTGCTTCGAACAGGGACATCCGTCGCTGGTGAAAGCCTTGTCTCAAGTGTACGAGAGAGTTTGTGGAAGAAAGATTGATCCTCTCACAGATATCCTGGTGACCGTGGGAGCTTATGGATCTCTCTTTAGTACGATACAGGCATTAGTTGAAGAGGGAGACGAAGTAAGTTTTTATTTGAAGTAGTCACTGAAATGAGAATTTGCCTGTTTGTCATTAGGTCACTTTTAAATCTAAGTTAGTGTCGGGGCATCTTTCTGATCTCCATTGATGTGTTACAGTTGCACGTCTGACTTAGAGTTTCAGAAGCTGTGATCAGGAGACTGTCTTTTGCATGTCTTCCACAGCTCACAAACCCCTTTCTCACACTCACGGTACCTATGGCAGTTTCTTTATCACTATTACTGTTAGGTGACACACACTGATTTCTTATTTGTTCGCTTCCTGTACTAGCTGTGGTGATTCATCCCTTCGCTACTGGTGTCTGCCTTTTTGACAGTGGTATTAGAAGTCATTTTGGGAGTGTATTTGTATCTGTAGTGGACAAGAACTTTTTGTGTTGTCATGGATTTTGCTTTCAGTGTTTTGCTTGTATAATGTATTCTCATCTGTATCTTTTCTTCCTTTTCTTTTTGCCCTGATACTCTCTTCTCTTTTTCTAACAGTTCTCCGCTATTAGGGTTTTTTTTTGTTGTTGTTGTTTGTTTTCCTATTATGTAGCCTCTCTGCAGTTTTCCTTGAATTTGTCCTTGTTTTCTATCTGAAAATTTTCTTCTGATAAAATTTGAGGACTTCAGCTCTTCTGAGATTTCCAGATGGTTGGAAATCTTGGAATTTCATGGACAGAATTAGGGCGGCTGCGCTGTGGTTCAACAGTTTGCTGTGGCTGTCTCCCATCTTTGCATCTTTGCCTTGCACCTTCAAATCCATGTGCAGGATTGAGAGACATTCCTAATATCCTATCTTAATAGCGGTAATGTGTAACTATAGAACAACAGCCTGTGTGGGTTGTCAGAAATGAGTAGTGCTTATCTATCTCAGACTGCAGGCGTTGTTAGGTGATGCTCTAAAGGGAGGAATATTGGGCAATGTTAGATCAGGATGGAGTGCCAGAAATACTATCAAGTTGTGCCACCAAAGTAAATCTGGAAATATGATGGTATCGTGCACAGGAAATTCTGTTTCTGATACTGATGACTGTAATTTCAGGTGATAATAATAGAGCCGTTTTATGACTGTTATGAACCAATGGTGAAGATGGCGGGTGCAAAGCCTGTTTTTATCCCTCTGAGAAATGTGAGTAGCTTTTAAAAAATGATTTATCATATAAAGTTTCTCATCCATACTCAATGCAGTTTGATGAACACCTTCTAGGCAATGCTTTTTTGTATAGTTTTTCGTAATATCCAATTATATAAAAATGAGATAGATTGCTGTAGTGTAAGTCTGAGACAGCCCTAATCCAAAGTAGACAGAATAGTTTATTAGTGTTGGAGAAGGCGGGACAATGTTTCTCACTGACTTTAATTTCTGCTCTCTGGAAGCTGATCAAAACTCCTTTTTTGGATGTCATAAGAGAATGCTTTCAGTGCAAATATGGGCAGGAGGATCACATAGCAGTGCAATTTCTGTATCTGCTGGTTTTTAAAAGATTTGGTTTCTGATTCCCTCAGCAACTCCTACAATGACAGAAGATAATTTCTTTTCCAACATCTGCTTACTAAGTAAGGAGCAGTCATGCAGTAGACACTTGCTGTACGTATGAGATTTACTGTTTCCTTTATTGGTAAAAAGGAATAATGTTGGTATGGGTGAATTTTCCAGTTGGTACTGCTGGTGTTACGCTGGCAAGGATTGTTCTGGATGCAGTGTTGATGGTGTTAGCGTCGCCTTGGGTGGCTGCAGCCTTGCATGGGGAGGGCGGAGGGGCTCTTTAGGCAGGCCTGTTGCATGAACACCATGAAATCAGAGCGACACAGAGTGACAAAACCTCCAGGACTGCGATGGGAAGAGGTGGGACTGTTCCTCTGCGTGCCCTCCTTCTAGGGATGTTTTGAATGATGGGGTTCCTCCAAGTATTTTCTGTTTCACACCCTTGTTTTTGGTCTGGCCCTCTCTCAGTAATGTGCAGGTATCAGAAAGTTAGTGTGGCCGTGCTCTTTGTTCTCTGCAGCAACTGGCCCAAACTTCTGTTGTCCTTGTGTAATACCACAGCAACTCCAGAGCCTCACTGCTGCAGACTTTTAACTGTTTGGCCGTTTTCATATGGACAAGGAGGAGGAAAAGACCTGGAATCTCTCCAGCGGTGATCAGTCCTTCCAGTGTCTGGCCATAAGCTGTCCTGTCATCTGACTGGCCTTTCTGCACGCGCGCTGTTATCATCTAACCAGATCCTGGAAAGCAGTGCCTGGGCAGGCTGTCAGACAGACAGTGGCCAGGAGAGGACAGCCCCTGTCTTAATAATTGACCTTGCTCTTAGCCTCCCTGCCTGCTCCTGGAAGTGCCTTCCCCCAGGAGAGCAGGACTGATTGGACGGGTTGTCAGGTGTGGGTGTGAACGTGTCCGAGGGTGATAAGTTGGGCATCTCTGCTCAGGCTGTAACATGTTGTATTCAAGTAATGCATAAATGTATTGGGCTTTTTTTTTTTTTTTTTTTTTTAGAAAAATGATGGAAACTCTGTATCTAGTGCTGACTGGGTCTTAGATCCTGCTGAGCTTGCAAATAAATTTAATTCCAAAACAAAAGCAATTATTCTGAATACCCCGCACAACCCTATAGGCAAGGTAAGAGTCCTGCTTTAACACTACTGTAATTTCAGAATGTGCCTTCCACACTGTGATTAACGCATCGTCGCTTGCTTTCATGTGTCCCAGGTGTTTACCAGAGAAGAGCTTCAAGTCATAGCTGATCTCTGTGTTAAGCATGATACCCTGTGCATCAGCGATGAGGTGTATGAATGGCTGGTGTATAAAGGAAATAAGCACATTAAAATAGGTACTGATTTTTTTGTGGCATCTTGGAAGTGGTTGTGGAATGATGTCGTAAATGTGCCTCTTGGAGAGAATGGTTTCTGGAAGGAGCTCAAACTTCAAGCTCGACTGTTTTACAATGTTTAGACTCTAAGGAGGAGAGCCCCTCCCTTTTCTGAAAAATATTTTAAAGAATAATTTCCAAATAGAATTTCCAAAAGCTCTTAAGTGACTTTGGAGCAGGTATCCATTGAAACCAGTGGGACTGACACCCATAAATCAGTTAATGATCATCTGAATAGCTCATCCTTATTCAGTTACTTTGTTGGCCCTGACAAGTATAACATGCTGTTCATTGGAGTGTGCTTTGCTGAAGAACTAACAGAAGGAACAGGAATTAAAACTTCCTTCTCAAAGCATTGTTGAGGTAATCAGTGAGGGACATGTGTAATGAGGAGCACAGTTATTTTTGCTCCACTACTTACAGAAAGGAAAAAAGTATAAATGTTAGTGTGGAGCCGGTGCATGAACGCTGTCCCTCCGAAGTGTTAAATAATGGACACTGAATTCAGTGAAGTAAGTCGCTGCATGGGCGGTGTGAAAGCCTGCAGGCAGTGTTGCTACAGGGGTAAAGCACCATGGTGGGAACAAACCAGAAACACCAAATATGACGTTACGTCCCCGTCCCTCTTGTTTTACTCCTTGATCCCAGTGTCACTGAAGTTAGTGGAATCGCTCCCGCTGTCTCGGAACAAGTGAATCTAGTGCAGGTTGCTGAACACCTTCCCCGATCCTGTGACGCTGCAGCTAAGCAGTTGTGTAAAAGTTTCTAGGGTGGTGGTCTTGGGTTGGGTCTGCTGGTGTACTGGAGCTGGCTGAAGTCCAAAACATCCTTCTTGTACGCACAGATGTTTTGTTTCTGATGGTAGCACCTTGCAGGAACTATCCCTTATGATGTACTTACTGTCATGATGAAGGCACGCTTCAGTCATGTGCAGCAGAGGCATCTAGTTGAGAGTAAACAATGAAATCAAGAGACATAAATGTAACTTAGACATGAAAAAGCTTAACTCTTTTCCTGGCTTTACCACTGGTTGAATGCTGAATAACTTTGCTTCTGTCCTTCAATTCCATATATGTAGAGTGGCAATAACGGAAACTTCCCATTAGTGGGGGGGGGAGCATCACTGTGAAAACTAAATCTTATAAATAATAAAAAGGAAATGATATCTAAGTGACTTTGCAATACTTGCTAGCTCAGCTACGCGGTTGCAGATCATACAGCTGCGGTACAGTGATGGTGCTGGCCGTGCATAGGCTGTGTCTGTTTTGAAAGTGGCCTGATTTCATGGCTGTTGTGGTGCTTTGATAGCGATACCTTCTCAAAGACCTTCAGACATGGAAGAAGGGGAACATTTTGGGTACATTCATGGGAGGGTAATCCGAGTCAGTGCATCCTAACAAGTTACCACAGTAACTGATCACGTGTGGCTTATGTCCCAACTGCAAAGTAAAATGAGCTCAATTAAAGCTTTCTTCATGGGCTTAGCAGGTGACTCGTGCAAATAGCCGTCCTCAGAACCAAAATCTCTGTGGGTGGTGTAAGGTAATCCGTTTTCCTCTGCACTGGCAGCAGGTCTGAACACTCACGTTGTCAATTCCACTTTGTCTTAGCGGACAGGACAGGTGGTGGATTCTTAAGACGCAGTAACTCTGTTGTTCCTTAGTATCAGTGTCTTGGTTTGAAAAGACAGGTGTCT